TTTTGTGAGTTTTTTTAAAATCTTTACCTCCTTTATTCCTTAATGCGTAAATTAATCTGTACAGTGTGAATATACAATTACTTTTCCTGTAAGGGAAATCCTTATTTCATTCTGTCTTGCACCCAGACACCATCTTCAGATCGTCTCCATGTGAGATGTGGGACTGAAAAAAGTGAAGGTATCGAAAAAGTGAGGACATAAGAAAGTGTGAGTGGAGCATCCCAGCAAGAACAAGTGTTCATAAGGAATAATGCAAGGGAAAGTTAATGCTCAAGAAAGAATGCATGCGGGAAAAATCCAGAGGTTGGTGGCCCAGCCTGTGGCAGGGGGGTTGGAACTTGATGATCCTTGGGGTCACTTCCAATCCAAGCCATCCATGATTCTATGAGAAGGTGAAGAAGAGGAAGAAGAGAGAAAGAGCAAGGGAGAGAAAAGCAGAGAGAGAAAGAGTGTGAGATATGAGCAGTGACTGGGAAGTGCTTGAGAAAAGGCAAAAGGAAGAAACGGGATGAGAGAGAAAGCTTGTATGAGAAAGGGTGAGCACAGTGGTGCAAGAAAAGGTGTAATCCTTTGAGAACACATGAGTGTGTGAGATTGAGAGCATGCGCGTGAGAAACAGCAAGAATATGGGAGGGAGAGTGACAGCATGAGAAAGCATGAGAAAGAGGGTGCAAAAAAAAAAAAAGGGTGAGGACATGGAAAGGAGCAAGGCTGCAATAAGGGGGAGCACTCAAGAAAGTGAGTAAAAACACGCAAATGTGGCCAAGAGAGAGCAAGATAACAAGCATGCGAGAAGAGTGTGTGTGTGCAAGAGAAAGCATGTGAGAAAAGCATATGAGAAAGCACGTGAGAAAAGCATACAAGAAAGATTATGCAGGAAAGAGTGAGGAGACAAAAGGAAGAGATGGCATGGGTAAGAAAGCAAACACAGGGGCACTAGAAAGAGCATTGTTATACATGGGACTGCACAAGTTCATGTGGGAGAGAAATTGAGAGAGGGAAAGCTAGATGGTGAGGAGCTGGGCAGAGTTAGCAAGGGCCTCCAAGAAAGGGCCTGTAGGCCTCCCCTCTGCCCCCAAGATTAATGAGAGAAAATTACTTACAGATTTGAGCTCGTGCAGACTTGGAATTTATTCAAATCTTTAGTAGTTCTGAGCACATTAAACAGCACAAGGCAACGCGAGAGATAACAGGAAAAAAACAGCTCAATTCTGTAGTGCCTGCTACTTTTCCTTTATGGCAGAAAAGATCCTAATTCAGAGCTAGAGGAAAATAATTGTCTGCATTTCTTTACTTTGCATGTTATTTCTATTGTGTGCAGAGACTACATGGATCATAAGGCGCAGAGAATAACAGCTGTTTTAGTTTATAACTTTAAATATAATACATTTTCTACTGAGTTGTCAGCACATCTTTCAATCAGCTATCAAAATAAAACACATAACTAGTTCTAAGCTACTGAAAATCACTAAGACTATTAGACTTTCATTCAGTACTTTATGTTTCACTAGCAAAACTGGTAGTTAGAAAGCTACCGTATGGAAGAGAAATAGACAAATGTAAGGAAACCTATTGGCTTACACCAAATTGGTGCTCAACTTGAATATCTGATTCGAGTCCATGTAATTTAGGAGTGTTGTTTACTTTCCCTAGCTCCCTTCTTCTGTAGGTTTCTGACATATTTGATCTTGGCAGCATTTCAGCATTGGAAATTCTTCCCTGTTTTCATCACTTCCATTGCTAGTAATACTGTTCCCCGTCAAAGGAGGTTGTAATTATCCTTTAAATATCACCATCTATAAGAAGGGTTTTTTTGTTCCTCACATATTCACTTTCTGGATATGGAAACTTTCCTGAAATTCAGTTTTTCTTTGAACCAGAACCATATCTGGATGTACCTCTCTTAGCAATGATTAAAGACTTGATACGAGAAAGTATTATATGAAGCATATCTACCTTAATGGAAGGATTATAATAGTATCTTCTCTTTCTCAGATTTGTAGGATGCTGTCATTTAGTAGACAAGCTATCAAAACAGATAATTTGGAGACATAACATCTTGCAGTTGATACAAAAGCACTACTTGATTTGGGCACCTCTCTACATAATGTCCAGAAACAAACAATATTGTTCTGATTTAATCATTTGACATGCTAAACACCCTATGGTGTAAAAGACACTACAAATTTGGAGTCTAAGGTTGATATTTGAGCATAATATGTCTACAAAAACAGAGACAGTTATACTTTAGACTGTTCCATAAAATGGAAAAGGGACATAAGGTTTTGAAGGAAAATTTAATTTTTCGGCAGATTTCCTTAGACTAAGTTAAGGAATCCAGTGCAAAGTTGATCTCAATTTACAAGCCAAATCACTCTGAAATTAAGTAAGGACAAGATGTACTGCTGAGGAAACAACCCATGCTGGAGCACCACCAACAAAAACAACGATAATAATAAGAAGATCTGGAGATCATTGGACTCCCACAGCAACAGGCAGGGATAATTTCTATCTGCTAGCGCAGAGTAGCATCCAGGCTGACCAACTGCTTACAGCCACCTTGTGAATCTTCACTGTATTCTTCAGCCTCCTTGACATCACTTGCAGGACTGGCCTGTCACACTGGGTTTCTGATGCGAAAAATCTGTCTCAGAGGTTTTTACAGGTCCAAAAGCAAATCCAAAGAAAGTCAAACCTGACTGTATAAACCGATCTTGTTCCTCTAATTACCACTTATTCCACCACTTCGAATCTGCCAAAAGCTGCTTCTACCATACCTTTAAACAAAACATTCTTGGCATTCCCTAAGATTATAGCTTACTTTATGCTCAGTAAGGGAGAAAATTATTGTTCAACCTATAAAACAATGTCTTTTAAAATAAGTATTCATGTGTACATGCATACACACAAGCACACACTCACTGCAGGCAGTAATCTCCATCTATGTGAGGAAAACATTCATAAGATACCATTTTTGCAAAACTCTTTCTGTTCCATTTGCCAGCAGTCAGAGAATCTCTTCTGTGGTTTCAGGTTCAATATTTATTCCAGGTATTCACTTGGTATAAATCAGAAGTGATTTCAATTGATTGGTGTCCATTTACATCTGCAAAATAGTTGGCTCCTCTAGTGTCTTTTAAACCTAATTATTTTGTTATTATGTGTTATTTTTAACTTGCCTTTCTTGAAGAGAAAAATATCTTATCTTGATTGCTAGCTCAACCCTGTGCTGCCAGCTTTTTCACAGCCACAGACTGACATGGTAAAAGTAGCCAGTGTACATACTTGGGTCACTAGCTCATTTCCAAGCTAGACAATCTGATTACAGAAAGCAATTGCATGCTTTTGTTGCATGCACAGGAAGGAGTACACGAGGCTCTGATTTTTTATGAAATGTAGATCCATGCTAGTGACTTCTGAATTATCTTTAGATCTCGATAACTTGTAAGATGTTTTGCCAGCTGCTCAAGAGATTACTGCAACGGACAGAATGGCTCCCATGGAAAGCTTGTAAAGAAGGGACATTATCTTCTTAGCAGCAATCTTTAAACAGAACTAATTATTTCATTACAGAAACTATCATGACAGTAGCTTTCACTTGTCTGAACCATCCATAATTACTGCCCTCAGCATGTCACTCACAGAAACTTTAGGTGCTGCCCACCCTACAGAACAGGGAAACTGTGACCCGAGTTGCTCTGTCCCACATTGTATCTATAAGCTGATTTCTCATCTGATACGGTGAGCAATACATACTTAAAAAATGAACTGTGCAGAAAGCAAGAAGCTGCCCCAATGGAACAATAAAAATTTAATAGAATAATTCTGACCCAAAGAACTGCAGAAATGATTGTTTTCAAGCTGTTCCAGACTGTACCAAAAAGCTAACTTTGAACAAAGTCACCGACTCATTAAACTGTGATCAAATGTGTCCCTGAATTCACATGGAATTATTTTTTATGAAGGGACACATCACAGAATCTCAGTATATCACTGCACTTTAAGTATTCCAAAACAGTTTTTAATCCTTATGATCTGGAGAGCAGCCATACTCTGCGCTTAGATAGCATTAGCAACCAGTAACAATGGTACACAAAACGGTTCCCTTATTTGAATTTGTATCAGTGTGGTTTTAATACTTTCATTTTTCTTTTTAAACACATGGGGAAGACACACTAAACATCTGTACAACAGACAAGAAAAGGGGCCAACAGATCTCCTTTGCTGTATAAATACAGCAAATATACTCACCTAATTACCACTACTAATACTGAGCATTGGTACTGGCAGATGGTTAAGCTCTGAAAACAGAAACAGTTTCTGCGGATTTCCTATCCTCATTTACCTGTTCATTCTGAGCAATTGTCTTGGAGTAAGAAAGAAGGACAACTAAAAAAAAAAAAAAAAAAGAGAGAGAAAAACCAAAGAAAGAAAGAAAGAAAAAAAAACAAAGAAAATCTGGAGAGGGTCTTATATTCTTAGATCAACCCTTCTGTCCTTCAGTACCTAACATCACATGCCTGGATCAGCCCAAATGGCTATGTGTTCACACTTGGCTACTAGAAAACTAAGGCTTGAAGTTCTAGCAGTTTTCCCAGACTACTATAAAAGGAAATCAAACACCACTATCTCAAACAAAATAGCATAAAGCAAATTCTTGCTTACACATATCTAGCAATTTTAAGACACATTATGAGATTTTCACTGTGCTGGATCAAATGCTTCATGTTTAAATCTGCAGATTTTTGTAATAGTCTCAGCACACAGCATATTTATAATAATTTTTTTCCTTCATCTTATTTTCACCGAATCATGATTTGTTATGTATAATTTCTCATACATAAAGTCTTTCCTCTATACTAGAGGGTCTCACTGTCATTACACAATCCTTGCACAATTGGTGATGTAAAACCTTGGTTTTTTTCCTTCCATACACACCCACCAGTTCAGATTAACAATTCAGCAGCCCAGTAAAGAAAAATGTGTGGTGGTACACTTACCAGAGAAAAACAGAAAAGATTCATGTTGCTGCTGAGATTCACTCCAGCACCCCAAAATTCTGCTCCAGAGAACTCCTGCTGCACAATGCAGTTCCTCCTTACTCTCCCAGCTGTTTGTACATTTCTCTCTGGAGATTACTGCAAGATAAAATCCCTGCAATAATCCACTGGATTCAGAGCCCATTATCAAATGAGACAGGCTTTCTCAGGACAGTACAAGCAGTTTTCTGAATTAATGAACAACATTTACAGTTGCAGGAACAAAAGCATGGTCTGAATGATTATGATGGACTCAGGATATGTTCTCTTGCAGGCTGTTGTTTCCATTTAGTTTCTAATGTAACAGAAATAAAATTACTTATGCTTAAGACCACTGGAACATATAGCTAGCTCCAAAGCAGATCTTCTCATGTTGCTCGTATTTTCCACAGACACTAAAATTCTTGGACAATACTACATTTCTACATGAACTAATTTATAAAATACAGCAGCTACTGTTGACTGCATTTTGAATGGAAGCATCTTACTTATATACCTTAAAAATAAACCTACTTGCCATGATAAAATTATTAAAAATAAATAAATAATTAAATAAAGTACTCAATTTGGGGCTGTATATGACAGAATAATTACCAAACCTGTTACTGTGTTGACTGCTTGATTATGCAGATTAGGACTAAAACAAATTTGCTACAAAATTAAAAAACTGAACGTATTCAAAGCTGATTTATGGGTTATAATGAAAGGCATTATAGTATATATAGGAAAGCAGATGAGAAATAAGAAATCAGAAATAAAAACAGTAGCCTATGTGATTAAATCAACAAAAATATCATTGTGTAAATTGACAAAATACCACTATACAAAGGAATTCCTATGTATTTCTCTGATATGAAGTAGAACTACAGTCTGAGAAAGAAATAAAGACAAATAGACTGTGAGTCCCAAGTTGTTTCAGATTACAAAACACATAGAATTATATTGTTCTTGGAATAATGTTCCCTCCCAGTTAATTTCCCACAGTTTATATGTGAACACGATGCTATTTGGATACATGAATAAGTAGTAGCTGATACCAAAGAGCCAAGCAGAACTTTCCTCAAAATGAGAGACACTCTGAGATGCTCTCCTTTTGTGACCAAGATCTCAATTTCCTTTTTCTTATTGTAGAAATTCGTATCTGTAAATGTCAAATATCTCTTTTATTGCTCATACATCTCACTACATTGGTTTGTTCCAGTCATTTTGCAGTTTGATTCTGCACTGCAGTGAATTCAAAGCCCCCAATTTTAGCAAGATAAATAAATTTTAACATATTCTCTATCCTGAACAAAACCCAAACAAGACTCACATAAAGGCACTGAAGGCGGACACAAGCAGATCAGATTCACAACTTCAAAATGAGATATTCAGTTTGTGCTTTGCCTGTTTGCTGTGACGTATATAAAAGTCTTGAAGGTTTTTCCAGGCCTTCTTTGCATTTATAATTTTAGGAACACTAACAGACTTTGATCATTGCTGTTCCTCAGCTTCTTCAGGCGAAAAAAAAATGAAATAATATCAAAAACTTCACGTGCAAAGTACTATGAAAGAATTGTGATCTATAGTGGTGAACATGCTTTAGCAGGGGAATTGGACTTAATGATCCCCTGAGGTCCCTTCCAACCCCTAGAATTATGTGATTCTGTAATGATGAAAAGCACCATGACCCAATTACAGAGAATTACTTTTCTAAAAAACATCAATTATAGCAACAGCTATCTGGAAAACACTAGGAAGACTAGGAAGCTAGTAAGATAACAAGACACACTATGCAATCAAACCCCAAGAAACTCAGGGGGATGTGTTTTTCATTCAGACTGCTTTAATCTCTGGATTTGGGATTGAGGTTTTGTTTTGTTTGTTTTGTGTGTGTGTGTTTGGTTTTGTTTGTTTGTTTGTTTGTTTCGAAGGGGCTGTGCATATTTACTTGCAAGCACTAAAGATGAAGATTTTATACTACAAATCCTCAAGATAAGCATCGCTAAGAGCCTGGATGTTAAACTGAGCTATTCAGTTTACATTTTGCTTGTATGAGCAGACACACTGAAAAGAGCACAGTTGAAGATAAAAAAACAAATTAAAGATAAAAAAGCAGCCTGTATCCATGCTTACAGACATACACATATATGGCAAGAAGTACTATAGAAAGGCAAAAATGCAGAGCTGTGCAAGAAAGTATTTTATAAAGAGAGAGAAATGTTCATCTAGTAACTTCCTAAGGCATTGGGCCAAATCTTGTTTCAGTTGTTCTTGATTCACCATTTGGACAGGTGCAATTCATCACATTAAACTTGAAATCATGTGAGCTAGGCACTAGTCCACTAAAGTAAAATGTGAAAAGCAGACGCAGACTTTACTGAAAAGCGAGCTGGAGACTGAAACCAGAAGTCATACAGGTTTAGATTCTGTAAACATGCCTACTGAGTGGATGACCCAGATGGCTTGTCTTCCTTCATTCCTTTCTTCATTCTCTAAAAGGCAGATCTCCAACATTCAATTCGTCTCATTTCATGTCCTGGTGGATTAATCCTTCAGTTTCCAAGTGTACTAGCTATCTCTATATATCCATATTGAAAACATTGCAGTACTGAGTTGAAGTTATTCAATTTGGGTGTAAAATATTGTTCACTATTGTAAAAAAAAAGTTCAAATATCCTGCTTAAGGAGCAGAGATAATTAAACTTCAAATTTCCATTCCATTCCAAGTTGATATTTCTAAACTATAGATGGCACTACTCATCAGATTCCTTTGCTAAACTAATGGATAAATTAGCAACTGTGAGGAATCATCTATTATGATAATAAAAATAAGGTGCAGTACCATACAATTTTGTTGGTCAGGATGGATAATACAAAAAAAAACACTGAGCATGAGTTTTTAGTGATACTCCACACCACAGCTGTCTCTGTAGAGAATCTGATTTTTATAAAGAAAAAACAAACAAACAAACAAAACCCAGAAAGTAAAAAGAACGCATTAGAAGGTAAAATCAGTGTTTTTAATTTTATCTGGCATAAATAGAGCCATCTGCTGCAGCAGCAATGCAGTGTCTGATGCACAGACTCAGATGTGAATGATCCAAACCGTTTATTATAAGTTCTCACATCACTTCTATACCTTCACAAGTTTTCTTTTTCTAGCTTTCCCATCCACCCCTACAACTTTCCCATCCACCTTTACATGTCAACAGAGCATTTTACAAAACACTCTTCAACCGTTCACACAGGCGCTTATCCAATCAGAGCTGTGAGACGTTCTTTCTTCTTCTAGAGGTGTCCTTGGTTCTCATGCTGTTTATCTTGCTCCACAGCTGCTGCTCTGAACAGTTTTTCTCGTATTCCCACACAGCAACACACCAGAACAGTAAAATCACACGTTAAGAGGGGTAGAGAAATCAGTTTCACCGAACAGGAACCATGTGAAACCCTCACTTTCTAACTCTTATCTTGCACTACAGTTATTTAATTCTCTTTATTCACCAATCCATGGTTTCTTAACAGTTGGGATTTACATCTACGCAAGTTGTTCAAACACCGCTAAAAATAAAAAATGCCCACAAACTGAGACTTTCATATATTGAGGTTTCTACTCCTGCACAATGAAAAAACTGCATAGTTGAGATCTCTGGGCATCACTGGCCTCTTCAGGTACTTCACAGCTTGGTACCAGCTGTGTTTCACAGTAAGGGGCAACATGTAATCTAGCCTGTCATACAAGTAGTCAAGGTCAAGCTATGAATCAAATACCTAAAATTCAGTCTTGGCTGCAGGCTCCTAGACTTATGCTAGCTATACTGCTGGTGTAGTTTCACTTGTCATTATGAGAACCCACCTGCAGAGTTGTGTGACTCACAGATTTATTTGGTTTTCTGGACAAATAAACCCCCTAGAATAATATATGCAATAATAGTTAACCCAGACACATTTCATTAAGCCTGGAACTAATTATCCTTTGTCTTCCCCCTTCTCTTTTTCCTCCTACAGCACACCTATTCTTAATGAAAGTGTGCATCTACTTCTCTGATCATCACCTATTTGTTATCCAAGCATCTCCACACAGATTTAAAATGAAGATGAACCATACTATTGTCAGATAAAGTATGAGTGTTAAATATAATCAGGTGGTAAGCATCCACATTTCCTTATTTCCTCCACATAAAAAAAGTGAATTACTACTTCATTATGAGTTCTAAGTAAATGCTGTGCAGTATTACTTTGCTCCAGTGGCTATGTTGGTAAAAATTAGGAAATTCAAAAATAATGAGTCAATTATAGGCTTCCTCTTGGTTCTGCCATTTCTTTGGAAAGGGGCTGTGTATTTACGTTCACAAAATCATAGAATCACAGAACCATAAACCAATAAACCATGTCCCTTAGTACCATATCTACATGCTTCTTGAACACCACCAGGGATGGTAACTCCACCACTCCTCCATGCAGCCTGTTCCAATGTCCAACCACTCTTTCGCAGAATTTTTTTCTTAATATCCAATCTGAACCTCCCCTGAAACAACTTGAAGCCATTCCCACTAGTTCTATTGTAAGGTATGGGGGAGGAGAGGCTGACCCCCACCTCGCCACAACTCCTTTCATGGAGTTGTAGAGAGCAGTAAAGTCTCTACTGAGCCTCCTCTGCTCCAGGCTAAACAATCCGAGCTGCCTCAGCTGCTCTTTGTAAGACTTGTGTTCCAGCCTCCTCACCAGCTTCGTTGCCCTTTTCTGGACACACTCCAGGGCCTTAATGTCTTGTTTATTGTGAGGTATTCAAAACTGAACACAGTACTCAAGATGAGGCCGTATCAGGGCAAAGTACAGGGGAATGATTGCCTCCCTGCTCTTTCTGGCTACACTATTTCTGACACAAGCCAAGATACCAATTGGCCTTCTTGGCCACTTGAGCACAGAAGCAGCTCATGTTCAGATGAGCATTGACCAATACCTCTAGATCCTTCTCCTCTGCACAGCTTTCCAGCCACTCTGCCCCAGGCCTGTAGCACTGCATAGAGTAGTTGTCTCCCATGTGCAGGACCCAGCACTTCGTCTTCCTGAACTTCACCATTGATCCAGCCTGTCCAGATCCCTCTGGAGGACCTTCC